AGATCAGCTCCCATTCAGTCGGTCATCGACTAAACGTCTCCGGTACCGACTGAAAGGGAACTGGAGATCTTGGAAAATTGTGAATTTGTTGGGCACACAAGTAACATGGAATAACTATTAACTGAAAATATAAGTTAACATAGATGATGCAAAGGCAAAAGTAGAAAAACCTAAACAGCCTTTAATCAACTCTGAGATGATTAAAAAAACAGGCAGATGAATATCGGGTAGACAAAGAAACCAACAGCACTGAGAGGAGGTTGTGCAGGCAGAAAAAAAAATGGAAAACAGAACAAGAAACAGCTGGTTGGTAAATGAGCAACACAGGTGAAAGCAAAAATGACAGGAGGAGAGAGGGAAAACCAGAGAAGCAGATGGCAGAAGATAAACACAACAGAAATTGGGAAACCAAAACAATGAAGAGAAAAAGACAGAAGCACATCAGAGAGAGAGAGAGAGAGAGAGAGAGAGAGAGAGAGAAAATAGAACATGCTTCAAACACTGAGAAAAGATCAGTCTCTGTTGACCGTCCACTCTTGAATCCTGATTGGTTCTTAGAATGAGTCTGGGAATGTGAGCCAAGGGATAAGTTGATAATGTGTGTGGGAGCCGGTACGGTGGTAGGTGAGAAAGCCTGAAGAGGGTCTACATTCAAACTGCTGTTAGATAGAGTTGATGGTGGCCAAGTGGAGCCTTCATCTACTTCTGGGACCTTGGTGAAGAATTTAACAACAAAACAAAATTCTTTCTTCAAATACAAAATGTGAAAAGCGCTATATTCATATAATTGAACATCTAGTGCAATATAACTAAAAAAACCTTGACCCATTTAATGAAAATAATCTTTTATTAAGACGATTTGTGCAATTTTTCTACAGATCTGATAGTATGATGACAGAAAGAGAAGAAGAAAGAGAAACCACACATAGATGTCTGGCACACTGTCCCTATACCGCAGGGGCGGGCTTAATGAATATGTTTCATCAGATTCTTGGGGTCGAAACCCGTGACCTTGGTGTTTCTAGCACGGAACCACACAAAAGCTTAGAGAACGATTGGAAATATTCCAATCTTCCTTTCAGCTTCACAACAAGATACGGACCAAAAAAACAACACATCTTTAAAAAAATATGCTAATTTTACAGTTCCGAAAGCATTAAGGCCTCTACACACAGAGGAATTTTTGATACAAAGTTTCTTGTGTGAAAAAGCTCTGACTGAAATCCACACATCTGACTGAACGAGTGGTGGCAGTGAAAAAGAGTTTTGGATTGCCATACTGGATTCGTTTTTCTCAAGGAGAACAACCAATGAAAGCTGGCTGTTTTGATGACATGAGTCGGATGGTTTGTGGTGCTCATCCCACATTTTCAGCGACTTTGTACAGGAAACAGGAAAGAAATACCATACCTCTCTTCACATTTTTGTCAAAAAGGTCTTTTGTCCTGGCCCGTGGTATGGTGGATGGCGCGCAGGACATGTATGCGCAGTTGAGCGGGCGAGGCTGGTTCGAGTTCTGAGCCTGTTGTCTTTCCCAATGATCAATGATAAAGGCTGTGGCCGCAAAAAAAAAAAGTTGGTCCCTGTGGTCAGCCACCAACAGTATAAAATGCTCAACATCATGATTTTTCTGAGTTCTTTGATTTCTTCTCTGCATAATGCATCTGTTGTGCTGCCAACGCCGTCTTCAGGCAGGGAGCTTCATTACATCAGTATTTCCTTGACTCAGATGAAGTGCAACATCATTTCGAAATGCTGTGTATAGGTCTAAAACTTTTTTATTGATGTCCAGTTTTTTTTGTTTTGTTTTTTTATCAGAAACAAACTTGACTATTGCATGCAGTTCAATGGTGGATGAGATTTGAGCTCCCTGTGACTGTATCCCTTTTTATTCTGCTAAATGAATACATTCTGCATGCGAGAGTGTCATTTCAAACAAAGCCCATCTCTCTCTCCCTCTCTGTTCTGACAGTTCATGATGTCTTGAGATTGTACTTCCTCCCATCTGGGGGAAATTGTCCAAGCAGCTTATCATTTGACCCGCCCAAACAAATACCATCTGACATTCATGCCCTCCATCACCACTGAATGCATTTCTGCTCAAACCACAAAACCTAAATCTTTCTGTGAGATATACCAGACAGGATTAAAGAGAATGTTTCCAAAACATTCAAATGTAATTCAGTCACCTTTTCTGACTTTTCTGTGAAATATAAAAAAATCTCTAGTCAAGCAAACATGAAACCATGATAATAGATCTTGATTCACCCATTTTTAATGTGAGTTTGTTTCTAACCGACTTGAAAGTAGCATTGAATTAAAAACCTACAATGGTTTCGTTGAATAAATACCAACATTTCCATTAAAAGACATTGATTTCAATCTGTTATGAGTGAAATAAAGCATTTTCTGCTTTTAGCAGAGAAAAAAACAACAACATCTACTGTATGTTCACAGACTATAGAATATTGCTGGAAAATTAAAATAATCTACCATCAAATAAAAAGCCCCTCATTACAGAGAAGGTCACAGGGGTTGTTTATGTTAAGTTATTGCACAATGGAGCAATCCCTGTGTAAATATACTAATCTGCCTTGTTTTTTTTCTTCTGCTGATAATTACTGTCATTGTGTTTGGAATGTGAAGGATGTGATTGAGGGGGAACAGCAGCACTCCATTGAGCAGCAGCTTATTTTTTATAATTGAAGCTAAACATTTCCACAAAGCTGTTAAACGTGATAGGTTTCTATTGAGGGCTCTTCCTCCAAATGTCAGAGTCGTTCGAAGGCCATAATGATGTCATAATAGAGGACACAGCTCCATTGTTTCTCGGTGGTAGACAAAGGAAGTAAATCCACCACTAGGTAAAATTCACATCTCCATTTGATCTGTTTTATAAAATTTCTGAAGCATTTCATTCCTGACATGAATTAGTTTGTGTTTGGTGATTTTGTTTTTACTTACAAAAATGCATATTTTCTTTAATGCATATAATACTTATGTACAGAAATCTTAGTAATGATCATTGAATATTTAAAAATAACTATTCTCTTTATAAAATAATTATAAATATTTTAATAATTGATCCTTTTCGTAGTCTTTGAGAAAGATTTATCATTTTAGAGATTTGTGCAATGACGCTCCCTGCCTGAAGATGCCATTTGCAGTACAACAGATGCCCCCCATGCCCCACAATAAAAACGGAAAGAAGATGATGACGACAGAGAAGAAATCAAACACATTATACTGTTAAACTATTTATACTATTTATACCGGGTGATCACAGGTAGCTGTTTGACAAAAATGTGGAGAAAACAGAGAATTAGTTTCCTCTACGAAGTTTTCATTGGTTGTTCTCCTTGTGGTTGGCACCACTCATGCGGTCAGATGTGTGAGCTCTCTAGAGGAAAAGACTGCAAGTGTTTGAATAAAAAAAATTAACAAATCCAACTTTTCTATGTTAATCCAATGCTGCAGTGTTATAATTAACAGCTTTACTACTGCACTAATAGTGTCTATTTTTAGTCCGTTTTCCAGGTGCTGGCAGGTGACCAGCTTGTACATCTTTCAGAATTTAGCAGCCCCAATGGAGAGGAAGGGAAGCCCTTGGTTTCCCATGTTTAGTTTCTCCTGTGAGGAGACTGCTGCACTGGGAAAACCTACAAACTCTCTGTCACTGGAGTTTCATGAGGCATTTGAACTTTATGATGAATGCCATAAAAAAAAAGTCTTTAAATCAGAATTGTGAAGTACGTTTGTCACATTCGAAGATCAACATTCTAAAAAGCACAATAATGGCCGTGTGATGCACTCCTGGTTTCTCAATTATAACACTTGCCATTCAAGGTTTTACCCAATGTCATGATTCTAACCCAAGCACAGCGCTAAGAAGATGATGTGTTAAGGTGGTGGGACAAATGACGGCTGTCATTGCAACCAAAGATTTGAATTGTTATATTATCATTCCACAAAGAAGGAACAGCGGAGAGATTGTGGAACACAGACTTTGAAGCATTGAGTCCAGTATCTGCATGTGGATTCTGACATTGTTTAAACGATCTATTCTTGATTCAATGTAGATGTTATTACTTTATTAATTAATTTAATAAAAAATTGATTTCTTGGATTAATAGAGTTTTGTGGAGCCATGGAGTTATCACATTTTGGGGATAAAAAAACTTATCTTGTAATGTTACGGTTAGGGGAATGATCGAGATGACCAGACTATAAGCAATCCGCAAGCGGTAAGAGAAAGCCCATGTGTAGAGGAAGAGAAACTCATTACATTTACACATTTGGCAGATGCTTTTATCCAAAGCGACTTACATGTGAATGAATTTTTTTTTTCTGTCAGTTCTTGCTTTCCCTGGGATTTGAACCCACAACCTTTGTGGTGTTAGCGCTTTTGCTCTACCAACTGAGCCACAGGAAAGCGTGTAAGTTGGGAAAGATTTCCACTCTGTCTCATGTAGAAAGAATAGAGTGAGTCAATCTCACAGAATATGAGTAAAAGCAGTTTTGAAACTTACCAAATCCAAGGATTGAAATTCAATCTATCACAGGTAGAATTCTACATGGGATAGAATAGATTGTACAGAACGAGCAGAGAGTCTATAACATTGTAAACCCCAGACTCATTCTATGTTTGTTGCTTCCCAAAACTCCCAGCCTCATGGATGTTATTGAAAAAAATCAAAACCTCAAAACTCGATTCTGTCCTTCTTTGTGGAGAGATTTATATTTCAATCCATTGCGGGGGTTTTTAGGAATCTGAGCAGGTGTGAGGGAATCTGATCTGAGGACCCACAGGACTAGAGCGTAGCCTCAATTTCATTCTTTCACCTTCCCTCTCCTTCACCTCATAGAGGTAAACCTTATCCATAATGCAGCCCAACATGCGCAATTATATGATTGTAGTAATATAATAAAAAATGAATTGCCGAGTCGGTCACAGTGATGGAGGTTTAATAATTCAAGTGAATTGGATCAAGAGAAAGCTTTTGTTTCTCCAATGAGACTGGTAATGATAAAAGCATTGCAAATGAAATTCAATAATGCAGATTTCTTTCCTGTCCACTAAAGTGTTTTTATTGCAGTCTGCAGGCATGGGTGCCTCCCTGGGACGTTGTGCCTAATGGACTATTCACTGGGAGAATGAAGCGTGTTGGTTTACTTCAGGCCTTCTACTCATAGGTTGAATGGAGCATTTAGGAGGAATCACTGACGAGGGAGTTTAAACTCTCAGAATCTTAAATGAACTGCAGAAAGAAGCAATACTGAGAAATTGGAAGCCTGGCAGTTTGTAGCATCTGAATGCGTAACTCTTTTCAGAGACACAATCAGACTGAGTAAAACTCACAGAGCTCAACATTCATTAGAAGAAAAGGGGGCGTTAAAGAGAAAACAGCAAAGAGTCAAAAAGTACACAATCGATTTCAGATAATGAAGCAGCTAATCTGGTGGTTAATTTATAGTTAAGCCTTAAAGTAGAAAACTACAATTTTGCTCAAGCGTATCGCCCTCATTTCCCCCCGCAAAAGTATGTGTTTAGTCTAAAATCAAATACACACCAGTCTGCTGTGCGAAGACGTAAATGTTAAAGATATTACAGTGGTGCTTCGAGTTACAAAATGTTCAAGATACTAAAAAAAATCCATGATTCGAGAAAAAACAACAGTTCTGCTCTATTAGGACCTCTGAGCCGCAAATATTTAGTTTGTTTTTCTGTGCAGGTCATAGACACTGCTGCTTTGCTGACTCGGAAGAACGGGTGGGATTCCTCCCATTGCGTCATTGATTCGAAGGCTTCCCCTGTGGATGCCAGCGCTTCTGCGGTTATAGCCCTGGCTGAGTGAAGTGCACACAATTTCCATTTGCTCTTTGGGTGTGAACGGCACATTTCTTTAACTCAGTGACTAAACCCATCAACGTGCCTTGTAAACTGTGGATGAAGGTCTCTCTTCCCTGGCCACTTGGTCTTCTTCCCTTATGTATTGTGCAGCGAAACTCTTACGTGCTGTTACAAATTTGGCTTGTTTTTAAAGAAACTGTGTGTGTGTGTGAGTTGTGCCTGTGGTGTCGGGTGTTGGTGTGTAGTTGGGTCCTGCTGCTGCTACCAGCCCTTAGAGAGAGAGAGATCGTTCAACCTTTCTGGACCCTTTTTAATTAAAAAGGGACCTTGCTAGCACGTTCAATATTAAATAGTACCTTTACATTTAATAAAATATTGTTGGTGATTCTTACCCACGCCTCCTGGCCCTTACTTTTAACCGGCTACATGGGTCTGCATGTTTTTGATTTATTATAGGGCACTTTATTTAAATTCTTTTGTAGACATTCTGGGGCACTCCACTGGGTGTCCCACTAAAATATTTTGTTAGATACTCCTCCCTCCTAGCATTGAGAGCCCAAAATCTGTGCCACTGGGCTAATTTTGTCCCTACTTGGAGGCTACGTTGACCTTTCTCTGGTTTTCCATTTTTTTTATCAACTTAAACTGTTGTTTTTGAGAGCTGTTGCACGGATTAGGTGTTTTACATGTAAAACTTGATTCAAGATATGAAAGGTTTGAGATACGAAAGACACCCTGGAACGGATTATTTTCATATCTCGGGGTACCACTGTAAATGTTTACAATAGATTGAGATATTTATAATGGATTCAAAGTAAAAGGAATGCAAGCGCAAGTTATGGAGTAACCAGAAAGCTGGGAACAGGAAGAGGCAGAATAGACTGATGATGAAAACCATCTCTGTTCTGTGGTGAAGGTAGGAGATCAGAGGATGCTGGCAAAGCTTTCCACCCCTGACCTCACACCCTGTACAGAGTGCTGAGCAGCTCCTAACAGGTTGCTCCATCCACATTGTGAGAAAAAGCAACCTCCCTCAGACATGATCGCAGTAGACTCTGCAGGTCACAGCTGAAATCACTTTATTACGCCTTTCTTAGGGCTCGAAAACCCTGCATAGAACCCCATTGTAAATGCTCAATGGTTTCATTTCTAAAAGAGTGTGTAGAATTCTGACTAAAACTAAACATGCGTCAAAAAGGTGTGCACTACAAAAAAATACGACAAAATCAGATTTAGAAAACTATTCGTACACACACCTGCAAGCAATCTTGCTTTTATACATCACAAGCGTGCGCAGTTTAGTGTGTAAGCCCCAAACACACCTCATCAACACCGTACACAAACCAGCTCTTCATTTATATTTAGAGAAGCTTTCGCTGCCCATGCTTGGAAGTTGTGAATTAATGCGGAGGTTGAAAAACTTTTTTTTCCCACAAACAGAAATCAAAGTTGTTATTGGGGAGGTAGAAATCCGAAAAGCAGTTGCCTCTGAAGTGCTGGAACCCAATTCAGCTGATATATCCAAGAGAACTGCTCCCGGGAATCTGAATCGGCTTATTAGCCACACATTATCATTGGCCAAGAAGTCATTATGGTCACGAAATACACATTTTCTCTGGTTTGTCATCAAGTAACGCCCCCAGTCATCTTTAAGAAGGAACTTTTATATTTCTATGATACTGTGTGAAATGTGCGACAAAGATTAACTTTTTCAATCGTCAAGAACTGGATTCCTAGACCCGATAACATGAACTTTGTTTATTTATTTTAATTTTTGTACTTGTTTATTCTTTTTTTGTATGATCAGCTTGTGTCTGCATATACAATATCTCACACGTGTACTTGCCATTTAGTCTGTATATGCATTTGTATAATAAAATAAAAATAAAAAAAAACTGTCAAGGCAGTTTTTATGTGTTTAGCAACAACAATTATTCTTAACACCAACTTAACAATTAGTATCGCCTTTTCTGAGCCAAATTATGTTTTTCTTAGAATTTTCCCCAACCATATTTTTAGTCTTGCTTATCAAATCCGTAGGCATTTTATTGCCTTATGCATTTTTAAATGTTTTTGTCAAGTTTGGTTTCATATAAGGTCTGATTTATGTCATGAAGTATGTAAGACACATTTTTTTTTAATATCTTCCTTTCAAATTTCCACCAGATGTTACTAACACCTCAAATCAAGTTGAGTTTTTCTAAATCTGTGACATTGCGCAAACAAAGAAGTACGCACTTTTTGGGCCATTTTTGTACGTACGCAACCTTTATAAGTGAGGCCCCAGAGCATTACTGTTTTGCGGCTTTCCATGCATTTTTTTTTTATTTTGGGGGTTTACATTTTATTTGCAATTGAATAAAAATACATTTGTTACAATTTAACATTTATTTTTAGTTTAAGCTTGAGTAAGATCGTATGGAGAATGATTTAGTATGCTTTCCTGTAACTTGTCCGCAACCTGGATGTAACTTGGAGTTGATCTTTGCTCAGTTTGACCATAGAATAATGTTGGTAATGTTTTGGTGAAGGCTATAAAATATGTTTGTGGGTTTAACGTGAATAAAATAGTAAAATAAATGAAAAACATCTGTTTTGAAAGGCTATCCACATTAGCAAGTAAACGTTGTAAAGAATATCACCTGACTGTAAGATGAAAACAAAAACATTGAGATACTTTCCCCCCACATTGCCCACCCTTATCATGTGGAGAAACTTGCTTTTGGCGTTGTTATAGGTGGAGAACCCATGATTTTACAAATCCCACCATTTTCAACAGCCTCATCAAACCAGCAACATTATGATAACCAATATAGGAATCCATTAAGCCACAACAGCCCTACAAGACTGTGGTAATCTCCATATAAAACTGACCTAGTGTACAGTAACCCTCCTTTTATTTAAATGCCCCTTAAGTGAAATCCTGCTCAAATCTTCCAACAGGTTCTGACTGACATTGAATCCGGCAACAGCTGAAGGTTCCTGTCAATCTGAGTAAACAACAAACCTGCAGCTCTCTTTCTCACAAACACTTAACATGAAGGGAATAATTGAAACAGAATGGTGGGTATCATTATAGCTTTGCAGTGTTTCAACAAATCTGGGCTGACAAAGAGACCAGAGACATGGCACTGTAATTAAGCGTTCACCCTCAAGGTCACTGCTGTCCCTCTGAATAATCCAAACAAAGCTAATGATTGATAAAAAACAGAGCAATGATATAATTACTCAAGACTAAATGAAACTAAATGAAGTATTTTTAGACCTAAAGCAGCTAAGAACTACTAGTTGTATTTTAAAGCTTACGTTTTTTTCACGGCATATAAGGTAGCGCTCTGATTGATGTGCTTCTCATGGGGAAGGAACTGTTTGCCCTATAATAGGAGTTTCTTCTCTTCCCAAAAGCCTGTGAAATTAAGCCCGCTGAGAGTGTGAGTGATTTGTAACTGCAAGAGGGGAAAAAAAACAGAAAATGATGGTGGATGTGTGTTGGGAAGGAGGGTAGGGCTTACTGAAGCATATGAGAGCAGTTCAATTCAAGGTGCAGTGAATGAGGCCCAGGCTGTTACCTCTACAGTGGTAC